CTATCTTGTAAGTACACTTGCCCTAGCTTCTTGTGTTCTTAGTATGATCTTAATTACACTTGAAATCATCAAGAATCATAAGAACAAAGGAGTTTACGGCCAAGGATGTTCATCAAGAATCATACCCCTTAATTAACCTTTTAAATGTTTATAAATGCTTTTAGGGGGGGGGGGGGGGGATACAATTTGAATCATGATAGTTATTATATCAATCACATGTGATTAATAACTAGCATGCAAATGGATTTACTAAACTTTTAGCTGTTTTACCAAACATATCACTTCAAATGACTTTCTCAAACATTTTTACATGATAAAACTCCTTATCAAACTGTCTTACATATTGTATGTTTCCTTTCAAACTCTGTTACTATTGTGTTTCAAACAAAGGTTTTTATTATACTTAAAACTGTCTTATCAAACAACCTGCTTTCAAATCATTTTATAATCTGACATCAAGTCATCATTTCTTAGTAATTAAACTTTTCAAAGATTTTACCAAACTTCTTTTATACTTCTATATTGTCAAATGCATGCCTATATATGCATAGTTATATAAGTAATGTTTAAAGGACTTAGAACGGCTAGCTCGTTTTATTTCCTTTTCCTCGTTTGGATGTGGCCTTAGGGTATCAGTTATTCGTCCGAATGTCGTCTAAATATTAGTTATATATCATGTATGCATACATAGACATAAAAGTTCTATCAGTCAGTTCAGCACCTTTGGGTAGCAAAGGCACACTTTCAGTTATACACGTACATTACTAGTAACTATAATAGGCATAGTTAGGAGATACTACTTACTAATTCAAGTACAAGGAATCACACAAGAGTCAGTTCATTAATGAGTCTATACTAATACAATACATACTATATGAAGAGATACACATACAAGAGTACAATTACAACCATACTAATACAATCCATACTATATAAAGAGATACAATACACGATAACATAAGAGACCTTACTATTACAAGAAACATACTATTATGAGGATCAATACATGCTATTATGAGGAACAATACATACTATTATGAGGAACAATACATACTATTATGAGGATCAATACATACTATTACAAAGAACATACTAATAAGAGAATACTAGACAGAGAATACTATCATATACAAGTACATACTAAGATACTATAACAGGAAGAACATACTAAGATGCTATAGCATGGAACAAGTTTAGGATCTAACTATACCAATGAATCACTAACGCATTGTACTAAACAAAAGGTGGTAGTTATATTGGGTATACATGATCATAATAATGTGGATGTTCACGACTTGCAAATTACTGCAGAGGTCGCGTGTGGTTCCAAGAATCTTTTGACAGGGAGAACATTTAGTACGAGAACTAGCCATCACATTATACCTTAATACTCAAATTAAGGCAATTAGTACACGAATAGTCACTTATTACAAATACTACAGTACTTACATACGACTAATACAAAAGGATACAATTTCGGTTAATATATTATTTTCCTTATTACCTTTACATTGTGTCACATTCACATAATCGATGAGGTAGATTAGATTTTAATAATAATAGTTGTACAAGGAAAAACCTTCACTTAAGTAGATGTTCGTACGTTCAAAACAGTTGGGTCTTGGTAGAAGACTACTACTTTTATACTAGTAGGAAATATGAGATTTTCTAGGGTTTTCAAACGTTTACAATTACTTACACACATTTTCATACTTATACAAACTTTTCTTCAAAACAATTACAAGTCTTTCAGTACAAGTTTTACAAATCAATGACACTAAAATACTTATGAATTCACCAGCTTTATAGCTGATACTCGCTTTCAAAATAACTTGTATTCTCAGGTCACAAATAGACAGGTACGACGACCAGGTTTTGTGAAGACGGAGCGGTCAAGACTCGTCTTTTATTTCGATTATTCAGTATGTTGTTTTATTCTATGAAGGAATACACTTGTAATTAAAATTATACTATTAATGCAATGGATGATGTTGTTGCTTATTTACTACTTTTCATTGTTGTGATACATTACATGACGTCCTCCGCCCTAGAACGTTTCCGCCGTTCTCGGTTTTGGGGTGTGACATTATACTACTACAACCTTGATCGATGTGCATCTCCGATTGCGCTACACGTAAAGTTTCTTCCTACTCGACTATAGAAATAAGAAAGAACATAGTGTCCAAGGTTTCACTTTCTTTTTTAATTCTTCATCATGAATTATTTATTAATTGGATTAATTATTGAGTTAATGCTTCTGAAAATTAGCATGTAAATTAATAGGAGTAGTGGTATCAGAGCCGGAGAGAGAGTTCTTTGATCGATAATGGATATTAATTGTTGAATTCTTGGCTGCGTTTTTTAGTGATTGATTGAGGAGCGTAGAGATTAATTGAATGGTTTTGCCGTTGTAACTTTACAGTGGATAATCAATCAAGATTTCAACAGAAAGTGAAGAACATGACTGTTTTTAAGTGCTAATTTTCGGAGAAAATTTTTTATTTCGAATCAGGTAACCAATAAGCTCTAATTCTTTCTGATTTTTTTGAATTGTATTTGGTCTGCTGATTGGAATTGAAAATTAGGGCATTGCACAAATAAATTGCATCTTGAGGTTGAGTTTGAAAGATCGCATGCCAAGTGTTCGATGAAAGTACTCAAATACGTCCACTAGTGTTCTTGGGTTGAAGAACAGGCTTAGTGATCCCATTTATGACAGTTTTACCACATATTAGTTCAACCATCTGCTAATCCATGTGGACACTGGAATCATTGGTAAGTGTATCAAAAAGAATGCTACGACTCCTATATGTTAATTGCTACAACAAAAATTTTGGTTAAATCATGCCATTATTTCACAAAGGGTGTTTTGGTAAGCTAAAAAAGTAGCTTTTAACTCATTATACCTGCTTGGGACCTGTTACATTTAAATAGACTAGACTAGATAGTGATAAATTTCCAATAGTTCCACATGTGCACAAATTTACTTAATCTTTCCTTGAATTTGATATTCTTATATACATGTTTTAGTAACATATAAAAGGGGTCAGGGATTAAGAATTTTGCAACTTCATTGATTAACTGCTAGCAAGTTGGTTACTAGAATCCACATTTACACCTCTACAAGTGGTATAACATAACACTTATTTCAACTTGTATCATTCATAGATGTATCATGACATGGATTCAGTTAAGTAAAACAAATCATATATATATTGATGTTCTTTTAATACAGATTCTATTGAAAATCGGGTCTATAATTGCTTCTGATGTTAGAGTTTTTTTTATTTAATCAATATTTTGTTGTTACGTTAGTGTATGTATAGGTGTTGCTGGATTTGCTACGGTTGCTGTATATGCTAAGTCGGGTTTAACATGAAATAAAGTGGTTAGTTTTCAATAAAAATGGCAAAACAACATGGTTAAATGTTATATAATAGACAAAAAAGTGATTTGTTTAATGATTTTATTGAATGTTTTATTTAAAACTTCAATGTTGTTATTGAAAGTTCCATTTAAATTGTCAATTCTGCTAGGTTCCATTTGAAATGTCAATTTTCCTATTGAAAGTTCAATTTTATAATGCACAAAAAAGTGAAATTAAGGTTTCAGTTTCTTTACTTCTTTTGTTTTACATTAAGTTTTTCCTAAAATGAAGACGCATTTGATAAGGTCCATGCATATTATTTCAATCTGAAGTTAGTTATTGCATTTTTTATATTTTTGTTTGCTAATTTGTGGATACATGTTTCTGTTTCTTAAAAAGGTAGGATGCTTTCCATGGCCATGCAATTGTAAGTTGTGATCAATGTCGGTGGCTGTCATTCGTTAATCATTTTGTTTCTTAAAAAGGTAGGATGCTAATAACAACGGGAAAAGTAGGATGTTATTAAAGGATTTAGTGATGGAAAGTAGGATTCCATTAAAACAGATTATAAATATGTCCCATGTACAATGTTCTACTACGTGATACAACTTCAAAAAAAAGTAAAAAACCTAACACAGTGCCAAAGGCGCGCATGATTCCCCTTTAGTTTTCTATACAATGTAATAAAATAGATGTTTTTTTTGGTTTTGCAGTTCATGATCAATCATCGTCAAGTATGAATATGGATCATTCAAATAGCAGTAATTCTTGTTATAGTTTTGATTTTGAGCTCTACAATACTGAATTTTCTAAGCTTGTTCCTTATGATAAGTTGATACATAAGAAGCTTTTCAAATGATTGTTGTTTGATTCGTTAGACATTGGTCTTGACTTTTACAAGACTTATGGTCAAGAATTTGGTTTTGATGTGAATATGTCAAGTCAAAATAGATACAATGATGGCACAATTCGTATTAGATATTCGACATGTAGTAGATCTGGTTTCACGGAGTCATTCAAGAATGAAAATATTAATGTGAAATTTTCAGATGTTAAGAGAAGGTGAACTTCTTCTAAGAAGAACGGATGCCCTGCTGTTTCAAAGTTCAAGAATCTTCGATGTTCTTTAATGTTCTATATTTATTTGTTTGTTGAAGATCACAACCATGAACTTGTTGCTCAAGATCAGTTGCACTTATTAAGGATTAATAGGACAATGGATTTTCTTGATGAATGCTTTATACATAAGGTTGGTACTTGTAACATTGGTGCTTCAAAAGCTTATAACTTGGTGAGTAGTATCAAGGGTGACTTTGATTCTAAGGGAGGGACTTTAGTTCACTTTAAAAAATTTCATAGAGATTTGAATTCTAAAATTGGTGTCAAAGATTCCCAAATGGTTGTGGATATATTAACAAACAGAAATTTGTGTTTCTCTAATTTTTCATTTGAGGTCCAAAAAGATGTTGATGATCATCTTACTGGACTTTTTTGGGCTAATGATACTTCGAAAGCCAACTATAAGGGATTTGGAGATATACTATCTTTTGATGCTACTTATCAAACAAACAAGTAATTCCTAATCCTTATTTGTTCTTTTTAATAATACTTATAAAAAAAATTAAGGTATTCTATGGTATTTGTTCTTTTTACTGGAGTTGACTACCACAAGCGTTGTGTTACTTTTGCTGCTGATTTACTAGCTCGTGAGACAGCAGATGCATATGTGTGGTTGTTTGAAGTGTTTTGTAAAGCATTTGTCAAGCCACCCATGATGATTGTAATGGATCATGATTCATCAATGAAGAAAGCTGTTAATTTTGTTTTTCCTGAATCGAAGCATAGACTATGCATGTGGCACATCACTCAAAAACTTGAGGAAAAAGTATATTCTTAGTTTCTTGATTCCTATATATGTTTATAACCATATAGATCATAAAGCACATTGTGAATTCACAATATAAATTTGTATATGATGAAAGGAACACTAAACCATAAATCACACTGTGAATTCATAATGTGAAACAAATGTTATGTTACTATGAATTACATCAAATATTCAATATATGTAATGATTCCTATGTGTTCCTTTTTTTTAGATTCCTTTTGATGTTTATAACCATCCAGACTTCCAGAAGGCATTTTTTTATATTATATGGAATCTTCAATGTTCTCCACAAGATTTTGAAAGGTCGTGGTCAACAATGTTAGATTAGTTTCATCTAAAAGAAAATGACTGGTTAAGGTATGTTTTTAAAATAAGGGATTTATGGATTTCGGCTTTTGTGAGAGATCTTGAACTTTCTGGTTTGATGCGAACTACTTCAAGATCAGAGAGTCTGAATTATGCTTTCTCACATTGTTTGCATCATAAATCAAATTTGGTGAAGTTCATGATGTCGTTTGATAGTGCAATGGAGAAGCAAAGACATCATCAATCTTTATTAGATTATCAGTCCACAACTACTACCCCCAAGCTAAGGACTCCTTTGGCTCTTGAAAATCATGCATCGGAAATTTATACACATAATATTTTCTTGAACATTCGGAAAGAGTTATACAAATTCGTGTTTTACTGTGTTCAAGAATCTATAGTTATTGAAGATGAAAGTGAAGTTTATGTTTTAAGAGATAAGAAGAAAAAAAAGTTGATTGATAAAAATGTGAATGGGGATGAAGATTCTGATGATTTTTATCGAAATAGTCTTCCTTCTCATTGTCCTAATACTCGTTACAATGTATGTCTCTTTGTCCTAATACAGTCTATTAAATATAAAATGTAGTTTAAAAATTCACACTGTGAATGTAGGATGTTTTGCTAATTTGCAGTGTGAATTCTTATAGAGTTATAAATTGGTTTGTACTTTTCATTAGATTAGTATGGAATATGTATATTTTTTTTTTGTGAATTTGATTTGAAGTACATATTTATATTATAGTATTATGATTTCTAATGTCCTGTTGATTAATAATGTGAATCGATGTTAATTTGTATAATTTTTATCGAATGGTATGAGATAGAATTTCTTATTCACATATTAATTTGTTTATTAATGATAATTTTGTAGATTGTATTTAGTAAAAGGGGTGATAGCATTAGCATCAGTTATAGCTGCATGCTTTTTGTCCAGGAAGGATTGTTCTGTCGTCATATGTTTTTCATATTAAATATGAAAGAGTATGATGAAATTCCATCAAATTTCATTTTGAGGAGACGGGGAAAAGATATCATAGCTGATGGATTGTTGAGAAAAAAGTACTCATATCCTCATAAAGGTAGTAAAAATGAATGTTTGATTCAAGATGCATATGCTATTCTTCGTTTGTCCATTAACAAGATAGCAAATAATGAGGATGAGTTGGCTAAATATATAAATCAACTTCAGGAGGTTGATAGTGGTATTACTTTATGTACCTCATCAAGGGCATCTTCGAGTAGATCAATTCACAATGAAAAAATTATTGGAGCTGTAGTATCTGATGTTATCAACATTCATAATCCACAGGGGATCAAAAACAAGGGATGGGCCGATGGTAAAAGAATCAAGAGCACTAGAGAGAAAGTGATTGAGTTATCTAAAAAGGGTTCTAGGTTGTGCAATTTATGTCATAAACCAAATCACAATGCTAGGAGTTGCATTTTGAGGTTAAAGAATTCTGTTTTAGAATCTGAGCTTATAGAAGGCTGATTGTTTCTAATTTTTTCTTTTTAAGACTACTAAAATAAGATTGATTTTTGTAATGATCATTCAATGGATAGAAATGTTGAAATATTGATGTTAATTTTGATATTCATTTTTTTAGACTTTATTTCTAATAATAGAATATATTTTTTTTCAAATTTATTGTTTTTGGTTAAAGATATTTTTTTATTGTTAGTTTTTTGAATCTTTTCTAATAAATTTTTTTTGCTAATGATTTAATTTATGTATATTAATTATCATTGTTAATCTTATATATCAAATTTTCATGTTAAAGATTGCCTTAATGTAATTTAATTCACATTGTAAATCTCAACTATGAATTGTTCTAATGATCAATATGTACCATAATTCACATTGTGAACCTCACATATAAAATATACATGTTATAATATGTACTGTAATTCACATTGTGAATCTGACATATAAAATTTTCATGAGGTTAACATATAAACAATGTAAATTTTCTACATATATGGTATTGTTATTAAATTAACATTTAATCATTTAGACCAAAAGAAATGAAGTAAATGTATTAAATAACAATGTACTTTCAATTCTTTATTCAAAGTAGAAATATAATCACTCCCCCCCCCCCACCCACCCACACACCAATAGCATATTTTTAATAAAACATGTAATTGTATAACATACATGTAGACATTCACATGAAAATATAAACATCTTTTAAGTATTAGTAAAGTTCATTATATTTGATATAGAAACTCACATCAAATTGTAACATAACAAGCATGTATATGTTCTTAAAGAAATTAAAGTGCATCTAAACTTATACTAATTATGAATAGAAAACTAAGTAATAAGTTTTACACTTCTTTTTACAATCCTTGAAGTACTATATCATTTCTCCCCTTTTTTCCCATCCCTTGTTGAGCAAATCTTTTATTTCTTCATTAGTCTTTTTTTGCAAACTTAGTTGTTTGTGAAACGATTTTTGACCTGTATGTGTTTGCGTCACTCGATAGTATCTTTGTCAAATACTTAATGTGTAAATCGTTTAACACACTTTGTTGTTGTTTTGATTCTTTTGGCAACCCACATGTCCAATTTACTGTTTTATCTCCCATATATGTCTCCATATGACGCATGCAAAAAACTCCACAGTCAACATGATTATCCCTCGCGCGCCAATTCATGTTCACCCTTTCTGGTTCAACACCCTCCAAAATTAAAGCTGATTTGTGATTGACCCTCATCAAGTACCTACTAAAAAGTATTTTCTGCAAAAAAGAAATTGTCATTTTCTATAATTATTATTTTATTTAGATTATCAGTCTATTAATACTTACATTTATAATGTAAATTTACTATTCTTACCAATTCATTAGGTGCATCACCATGAACTCTAGAAAAATTTACAACTGAATTCCTATTGTCAATGACATCAACCGCTGGTTCCTCTAAGTTTATGCAGAGGATGTAAAAGTGATTTTTTTGATGAATTGGAAAAACACCTGTTTAATAATTTAAATTGTTAAACTTTGTTTAAAATATGTAACATATTCAACAAAAAGAACAGTTGGTTACCATGTGAACTTTTTCAAATGTCAGAAGTTCTTTGTCCTTTTTCATTGCATCTTTGATATTTGACTCAAATTTATCAAATCTTTCAATGAAAGGGATATTTTTGTCAAATATGAACTGTCTCTGCAAAAAAAATTTAAATATATATCAAACTTTAAAGAGTAAATTGTTAAATTCACAATAAGATAAATTTTAAATCTAAAATTATTCACACTGTGAATTATAATAGGATTCACTGTGTGAATTTTATTACTTATTTAGAACTATTGAAAATTTTATTTATTATATTATCAGCATTATCATGATATATATATTTTAATTAACTTACCACCATTGATGTATCAAAGAAATACCGATTCTCTGTAGAATTTCATTTGAGCTTTTCTTCATAGTTCAAAATATCAGTCCAAGCATCAATGACATGTGCATGTAACCATAATCCTACCTGCATTGCTTCAATCATTCCTCTTACAAGCACATAACCTCTCTTAGTCTGAAATACCTTCTCACTTAATTTGTAATCAAATAAAACAAAAAAGCAGTTAATAGAAAATTAATTTGTATTTGTATTTATATACTATTGTATTTAAATAAAATATAACATGAATTATTACCTGCTATTACTAATTCTGGAAAAAATTCGATCTGATACTTTTACTTCATCTGGATCTACAAATTTTGATGCACAAACCTCTTTTTTATTATAAGGAGAAGATAGCTTCAGTGATGGTTTTTTTAATCTTTTTCCTACTTCTCTTTTTTTTGTCTTCATCGTCTTCAATTCCCAAGATATTATTGTCACATTCTGTTTCTTCTGAATCATAACTTTCTCCTTCATCAATTTTTTCATCTTTTATTTCTTTCTTCATGTTTTCATCTTCGCTGCTTTCATCTCCTTCCTAAAACTCTTGTGTTAGACCAAGACCAAGTCCAAGTGAAAAACAAGGCATTGCTGATTTTCTAGTATTTTTTTTCTTTTTTTTATTATCTATTATTGTTTTTATTTTTATTTTTTTGTTCTCTAAAAATATTTATATTTTTAAAATCATCATAATCATCAAAATTTAAAATACATTGAATAGAATCAGCAATCTCATGCACTATTGGATCATTGTTCAAATTTCCTGGTGTTACCATGATTGGTTGATTCTTTATTTCATGTTCATTCAAATTCTCATCACTTTTTTCTTCATCTTCATTCCTGTCACTTTTTGCATCATCTTCATTTTGAGTTTTATAAATGAATTCTTGTTCAAAGACTTTCTTCATATCTTTCAACTCATCGTTTTCTGTGAATTTTGTTGTTGAAAACTCAATTAACTTTCCAAACTTCATTTTATCATTCACTGTTTTTTTTGTAATTCTTTTTCGCTTTGAATACCAATTCCTGCGAAATGAGATCAAAATGTCAATAAAAATGAATTTTTTTAAACTTTTTTCTATAGTAAATTAAGTTTCAGAATATGAATGCATTGATGAGGTATCAGACTTTTAATGCATTTTAATAAATTACATATTCACTATGTGAATTTATTATAGAGAAAGTAATAAAATTCACTTTTATATTCATAATGTGAATCACTTTATGAATTTCATGTTAACTACAATTTTAAAACATATATATGTGTAACGTCCCGATTCTCAGGTATTGATTTACGTATGAATCTTCTTGGTTTTTGGGTCTACTCGACGAGTTGGTCGCCCTACTCGTCGAGTAGTAGCGGGTTGGTCCATGTATTTTAGTGATCTACTCGCCGAGTCCAAGAAGGCACTCGACGAGTAGGAGCTGGAAGATGAAACCCTAAATTTCGGGGCATTGCACCCTATTTAAAGGATCAATGGCCTCCCCCAGCCTCCCCTTTACTGCTTCTTGTCCCTCTATAACCCTAAATCGAGTGTGTGTGTGTGTTCTTTTGGTGAATTCAAGCTTGGAGGATGGATTTTGGTGGAGGAAACACTTGGGGAAGCAAGCAAGTAGAAGCAAGAACTCGTGGTATTCAAGATCTACATCAGTGAACACTCTCTTGAAGGTATTAAACTGTTTTCCTTGGCTCATTTTCATCTAAGATCTCTTTTGGATGGGTTTTAAAAAAGGCTTCTTATGTTTGAGCTAAGATCTGAAGTTGTAACTTTAGATTTGGACTCCCTTTGGCCTTTAGATCCATAAAGCTATCAACCTTGCCTAGGATGAGCCTTCCCTCAAGTGTGATACTTCATTGCAAGCTTAGTTTTGTCATTTTAGGGCCTTAAAGCCATGCATGCACGTAAAGTTTGCAACTTTACATGATAAGCATGCATAAGGATGTTGGATCTACAATTTGGAGCCCTTGCATGGCTTAAAAAGTGTCTGTATGGTTAAAGGATCGAAGGGACTCGGCGAGTCACATGGACGACTCGGAGAGTCATATGAAGATGGACCTGAACTCGACGAGTTGGATGATGTCACACCCCGAAAACCGAAGGCGGAAACATTTCCGGGGTTGACTCCACGTTGAGTATCAAATCCAATGCACATAGTAAGTAAAGTAGAACAACCATTACATTACATAATAAAGTGTTACAGTTGTTTCAAAAGTAAAGTTTGTACAGTTGTGTTACATAGTATATATAGACAAAATGAAACGGATCTTCATGTACTCCGTCTTCTGATCAAAAGAAATCTCCGGGTACCTGTTCTAACGATGACCTGAGAACACAAGCGGTTTGAAAATCAGCATAAAGCTGGTGAGTTCATAAGTAGTTTTGTTTTGTGAAAATGTTTATATTTCCTTTCTGTTTCTGAAAATGTATCAGTGTATTCCCAGGAAAGTCCCATACTTTCCTGAATAGTTAGTTGTTGTAAAATATGTAATGATATACAATTGGTTACACTTTTCTGGTTATGTGAATGTTACCCAGGAAAGCCCCATGCTTTCCTGTATGTTGGTTTTCAATGTAAAAGATGTATTCTATCAAACCTGGTTATGTACAAAGTTTTCCCCAGGAAGGTCCCATACCTTCCTGAATGTTGGTTATCATTTGTAAAAGATGTAGAAGATATAAAGATGTAAAAGATGTAAACCGAATCCTGGTTATCTGTAAAATGTAGAATGTGGTTAATTATTACTATAAGTAAATCTCTGTTATCCTAGTTGCGAGTTCCATAACCATACTAAAGACTGAACCTGTGGCAATAAGTAGTCCACAGCCTTGTGGCAGTAAGTAGTCCACAATCCTTATGACTTTCGTCACCCTTGAACCATTTCGGTTCGGCTGTAGCTAGCAGCCAGGTGTGGGGTAGTCAGCCCCGTATAGATCTATACACTCAAGTCACGCTCTCTAAATCCCAGAGATTCTGGTTACGGGTGTAGTCCTCCACTCGCGTATCTCTGTGGAGTGTTCGCCGAGGACGTGTCTCCAATCATACGGAATAACAAATTTACTAGTAATAATAGGATAATCCT